TTCGGACCAGGTTAGGGGCAGCATTGAAAAAGTGCTTATAAGCGCCTTTTAATTCCGGGCACTCCCCCGTTGCGACCAGGTTAGTGGCAGCATTGAAAAAGCGCTTATAAGCGCTTTCTAATTCCTGCCAACCAGGCCATGGGCGATAGGAAAAGCGGCAGAAAAGCGATCATAAGCGCCTTTAAGCGCTTTTAAATCCTGACTCTGCCGGTGCACCCCAGGTTGCACAGAAAAGAACTTATAAGCGGGCACTCTGATTTCCAGTTCCGACCAGGTTAAGGGGAATTCAGAAATCACTTAAAAGCGCATATTAATTCCAGGCACTCCCCCGTTCCGACCAGGTTAGGGGTAGCATTGAAAAAGCGCTTAAAATTCTTGCCAACCAGGCCATGGGTAATGGGAAAAGCGGTAGAAAAGCGATCATAAGCGCCTATAAGCGCTTTTAAATCCTGACTCTGCCGGTGCACCCGAGGTTGCACAGAAAAGCACTTATAAGCGGGCACTCTGATTTCTAGTTCCGACCAGGTTAAGGGGAATTGAGAAATCGCTTATAAGCGCTTATTAATTCCAGGCACTCCCCCGTTCCGACCAGGTTAAGGGCAGCATTGAAAAAACGCTTATAAGCGCTTTATAATTCTTGCCAACCAGGCCATGGGTGATGGGAAAAGCGGTAGAAAAGCAATCATAAGCGCCTATAAGCGCTTTTAAATCCTGACTCTGCCAGTGCACCCCAGGTTGCTCAGAAAAGCACATGCAAGTGGGCACTCTCCAGTTCCGACCAGGTTGAAGAGAATTGAGAAATCGTTATAAGCGCCTTTTAATTCCGGGCACTCCCCCGTTGCGACCAGGTTAGTGGCAGCATTGAAAAAGCGCTTATAGGGCGATAGGAAAAGCGGTAGAAAAGCGATCATAAGCGCCTATAAGCGCTTTTAAATCCTGACTCTGCCGGTGCACCCCAGGTTGCTCAGAAAAGCACATGAAAGTTCCAACCAGGTTAAGGGGAATTGAGAAATCGCTTATAAGCGCTTTTAAATTCCGGGCACTACCCCGTTCCGACCAGGCTAGGGGCAACATCGAAAAAGCGCTTATAAGCGCTTTTTAATTCCTGCTCACCTGGCCATGGATGATAGGAAAAGCGGTAGAAAAGCGATCATAAGCGCTTTTTAATCCTGACTCTGCCGGTGCACCCCAGGTTGCACAGAAAAGAACTTATAAGCGGGCACTCTGATTTCCAGTTCCGACCAGGTTAAGGGGAATTCAGAAATCGCTTATAAGCTCATATTAATTCCAGGCATTCCCCCGTTCCGACCAGGTTAGGGGTAGCATTGAAAAAGCGCTTAAAATTCTTGCCAACCAGGCCATGGGTAATGGGAAAAGCGCTAGAAAAGCGATCATAAGCGCCTATAAGCGCTTTTAAATCCTGACTCTGCCGGTGCACCCGAGGTTGCACAGAAAAGCACTTATAAGCGGGCACTCTGATTTCTAGTTCCGACCAGGTTAAGGGGAATTGAGAAATCGCTTATAAGCGCTTTTTAATTCCGGGCACACCCCCGTTCCGAACAGGTTAGGGGCAGCATTGAAAAAACGCTTATAAGCGCTTTATAATTCTTGCCAACCAGGCCATGGGTGATGGGAAAAGCGGTAGAAAAGCAATCATAAGCGCCTATAAGCGCTTTTAAATCCTGACTCTGCCGGTGCACTCCAGTTCCGACCAGGTTGAAGAGAATTGAGAAATCGTTTATAAGCGCTTTTTAATTCCGGGCACACCCCCGTTCCGAACAGGTTAGGGGCAGCATTGAAAAAACGCTTATAAGCGCTTTATAATTCTTGCCAACCAGGCCATGGGTGATAGGAAAAGCGGTAGAAAAGCGATCATAAGCGCTTTTTAATCCTGACTCTGCCGGTGCACCCCAGGTTGCTCAAAAAAGCACTTATAAGCGGGCACTCTGATTTCCAGTTCCGACCAGGTTAGGGGCAGCATTTAAAAAGCGCTTTTGAGCGCTTTTTTATTCCGGGCACTCCCCCGTTCCGACCAGGTAAGGGGCAGCATTGAAAAAACGCTAATAAGCGCTTTATAATTCTTGCCAACCCGTGCCATGGGTGATAAGAAAAGTGGTAGAAAAGCGATCATAAGCGCCTATAAGCGCTTTTAAATCCTGACTCTGCCGGTGCACCCCAGGTTGCTCAGAAAAGCACATGAAAGTTCCAACCAGGGGAATTGAGGGGAATTGAGGGGAATTGAGAAATCGCTTATAAGCGCTTTTAAATTCCAGGCACTACCCCGTTCCGACCAGGCTAGGGGCAACATCGAAAAAGCGCTTATAAGCGCTTTTTAATTCCTGCTCACCTGGCCATGGATGATAGGAAAAGCGGTAAAAGCGGTGAAATAGCGATGAATTAGCCGTAATAAGCGATTTCTACAAAAACGCTTATAATCGATTATAAGCGGTTATAAGATGTAATATAGCGTTTTCCTGACTCAATTTTAAAAGCGCTTATAAGCGCTTTATTTGCGCTTTACAAACAGCTAAATTGCACCCCAATTATAAGCGCTTATAATCGCTTATAAATGGTTCAAAAAAGCGCCCACGAATCGCTTATCCGGCCAACCGCTTATCCACCCGTTTTTGGCGCCAATCCTACTGGAAAACCGCTTTCAAATCGCTCAGCGACGCTAGTAAGCGCTTAAAAGCGCTTATAAGCGCTTTTAAATTCAAAAAAGCGCTTTTTTGAATTATGACACCAATTATAGTCGATTATAAGCGATTTTTTTTTAACCGTTTATAATCGTAAAAAAAGCGATTGTAAACGGTTTTTTTTTTTAAAAGCGCCGAAAAAGCGCCCAATAAGCGATTATCGGCGCCGATCATAAAATATCGTTTATGGAAACTTGCCAAAATTTGTATTTAAAAAAATCAGGACACCATTTTTGAAACACCCTGTACATACTTACATAGTCTAGATTGTAGTCTTTGATAATTGTTGATCTGCTGAGTAAGATTCAGATATTTACCAATAAGTGACACGTGACGTGTCACAAGTGCTTCATCTCTCCGTCAGGGCATCTGACACCACGTGCACAACATTTACTCGAATAGTTGAACAACATAGGGAAGTAGACCTGACTCTATATTTCTTGATGAGATCATCCCACACTATGATATTGAGTAGGTACCATTAGCTGTCACGTGATAAGACTGCAGCTGTCACGTGATAAGACTGCAGAGGCACGTGATAAGACTGCAGAGGCACGTGATAAGACTGCAGAGGCACGTGACTGCAGGAGTCACGTGGCTGCAGGAGTCACAACATTTACCGTCACCAGACTGGGAATACTTCATCATAAACATGTAAAAATCTTTCTACAGAAACCAATCAGTATTTACACATCATTCTTATGGCGTAACTGAATAACGATATTCTGATATTCGATAAGTAATTACTTTTGACTTTTATCCGTGCATTGACCTTATTCTTGGTGCAGCATTAGAATTACATGGTACATTTTGGTGTTCTTAAAAGACTTTTATCTAGATACATTATTTTATTTCGATTTTTCTAACAGGGCCCATTTGCAACCGGCTATAGTTAAAAGCGTTATCCTTGTTTGTAAATAAACTACACTATTTGACTATCTTTGACAAAAATTCGTAAGTCGATGAATTAAAGAACAATTGCTTAAAAGTTAATATTAAAAACAAATAATGCTTTTAGTTTTTGCGTTTTTGGACACGAAGGAAAACACACGACGTAAGGCTAGAAATCTTCGTAAAACTACATCATTAGAGCCTCAAATTATTTGTTATATAGTAGTGTTGAAAATATTAAAAACATTATAACGAACCGCAGACTAGATTTTCATGAGAGTTTGACCCGCATCTTGCTAAACAAAATACTTAAAATAAGTTGTGAGAAATTAGGGTATTAACGAGATTTGGTAACAGTGACACTTTGACACTATTTCTCAAACACCAAGTGACTGTGAATGGCTATCAATGCTTTATTACTTTATTTATTTCATCTGAAAATGTTTTTTTTCTGATGATTTTAATTAATTAATTAACTAATTATTCCCAGTAACTGTAAAACTAGGAAAACTGCCTCTAGTTGAACTGTTATAGTGTTATTCTGCTGTTATAGTGTTATTCTGCTGTTATAGTGTTATTCTGCTGTTATAGTGTTATTCTGCTGTTTTGGTGTTATTCTGCTGTTATAGTGTTATTCTGCTGTTTTAGTGTTATTCTGCTGTTGAAAACAGTGTATTATATTTATTATCAGTGCCGTACAGCCGTACTAAAATTCTGCTGAAAAAAATATCATGGTGGTCACAATTTAGGATATTATCTTAACGGGTGATGCGCACTTAACTTTAATTTGAGTAGTATAGGGAGAGACTTCGCAAGAACTCTCAGAATTGTCAAATAATTGCCACTTCAACTTCCACAGAAAGAAATACCATATTTTGTCTGAAGATATGACATTTGCAGCAGATCATTTTTGAGAGGTATTCACTATTTCCCAGCTCATTAGTGCCTCTCACAAATCCAACTACTTAAATCCAAATTTTGTCCTTTTTTCAAGGTAATGGTTGACCCCTAGGGTTATTAATAGTTTATTAAGTAATGAGAGTGCTTTAGCCTATAAAAATGACAGCAACATCCGTTTTAGATGTATTTCTTGATTTGCAGAATCTGCAAGTTAATACATTTTACTCGAAGAAGCTTTTCTTTTCAATGTTTTTCATTTTAAAGTAATTTAAATGTTACCGTATTTTATTGTTATATGTATATAACTAATATTGTCATTCGTCCAGCCATGTCACTGTAACAGCCATGTAACTATAACATACTAACTATAATCTGTTTAACAACTAAGATTGAATGTATTTATTGAATTTATAATGGGATGGATCATGGGAATGGTTAGTCTAAACTACATATAAAAAAGGCTGAATCTAACTTGAAAAGCACTAATAACACAATTAAATTCCCTATAGATCACATAATGCTACTTTTCATTTTTGCTGCCATATCGGCAGTCATTCTGTCGCCCGCCTACGCTAAAAAACCTGTAGATTTCCAAACTATGCAAATCAACTACGCTCCCGACCACGCCCTGGACATAAAGGAGGGAGAAACCCAGATTTTCAGGTAGCATATTAATATTATCCAATTATTTAATTATATAGCAAAACATTTAACATTCATCTCTTTCTTTACTTTTACCGTCAACATTTTTTCAGTGAGCCATAACATGCAGGTGCTGTGAAACTAACAAATACCACTTTTACAAAACTTAACTTACTAACTTAGCACTAACTCATAACTTATTACTGTACTTAGCTTATCACTTAGCTTATATTTATCTAACTTATAATTTTATTTATAATTTTACTTATAATTTTACTTATAATTTTACTTATAATTTTACTTGTAATTTTACTTATAATTTTACTTATAATTTTACTTATAATTTTACTTATAATTTTACTTATAATTTTACTTATAATTTTACTTATAATTTTACTTGTTTACAGGGCTCCACTCTGCAAAGGAGGTCTGCTGAACGGCTGGTCCTTCAAAGCGAAGGTATACATGATGAACGAACCTTGGGATTCTGCCGAGATAGGAGATGCTAACTGGCTCCACATCCAAGTCTCCAATGGGTGAGTTCTAAAGTTATGTGCGGATTGCTTGCGGAGATGTATCATTCATACATCTGGCATACGTGGTATACCTGCATTCTTCTAGCGTTCTACTCATCATTTGAGTAGTATGCAAGTAAATCCCTGTGTATATTGATCAAGTTTATGCTGTTCATATTCAAGTATGATATTCCGTAAGGATGAAACTTGATACTGATTGATAAACTATAATAGCAACATGCTTCTTTCTCAGGCCGAGCTTTACAACGATTGTCCGAGATAACGCACAGGAAGCTAAAAAAGCCGGTTATGACCCGAAACCTGCTACTTCTCCGTTTACTTACGACAGCGCAACGTGTAAGCCAACCTGTAACATGTGATATATTACTATTAACTAAACTGTAACAGTTTGGCGGGAACCACCACGCTAGATCGGGGAGCGATACATTTAACTTTGAAACATATTACATATTTTAAAATAATTACAACACCACAAATCTATTATATTTATTGAGAATTATGTAATGTAACGTGATGGAAATATTTTAAACGGGCACGGGCAGATCCTGTCCAAACCTAGGATGCACTTCATGAAGAATTCGTTGTAACTTTGTTTGAAAAGCATTAATACAAAATCATAAACTCACCATGATGATCAATTAAGATTGAATTGAAGTCTGAGTAACGTAACGAAACGGAACTAAGAATATTATTCTGAATGCATTTAACAATTATCCCTTAGCTTTATACCCCGTTAAAGTAGATTTATTTGGTTCGGCCCAGTTAAAATTCTGCTACATCATTTAATAATATGATGCTCAAATTACGTTTATTTTAATGGCAAGTGTTTTCACTGTTGATTTATTGTCAATTCAAGTACATAATTACGACACATCAAAAAAGTAACATTTTAAGTTAATATCAAGGATTAAAGACAAAACGTAAACTAGTTTATAAGATTTTTAACAGATTTATATGGTCATTGTTTACTGTTTATAACAAATTATTTTGCCCAGTACACAATTATCCGTATCAAATTTCTTTATACTGAGCAGACACTTTTTTGTAATCGACAAGCCCGCTTTTGATTTTGAGATAAACATGTCATTTTATATTTATATCATAATACCATTAACAATTCGGTAACAGATCATAGTTGAATTTAAAGATTTTAGTTTTTGACAATGTGGAAATTACTAGTTTGAAGCACCCCAGTTATACTGGACAGGATTGTACAATCAAATAATCATAATACCATCATATTACAATAAAATTATATTATTACAATAAAAATGACAGGGGGTTCGGACGATATCTACATACAGATTACAGCAAGCCACGGTACCCCGACCTTCCAATACGGTTTGGAGCTGGCAGCCAACGAGCCTAGTGATGATCTCATGATCCCCGACGGCATGGACAGGTAATTACTGATTAAATACAAGACTCATTACCATGATTAGTCTATTTTCAACCAGTTTTGAGGACGTTTTGCAAACTTTGATCAAACTTTGATTTCAAAAGCTGATCAAGATGTTTTGTTCATTTTATTGATATGAACTGCTCTTCTTGGCAATTGTATAAATGATTCCCTTTCAGTGCGGAGACAGTCTCGGCGAGCGCTGCTACTAGAGGGTGTGGTATTCAGACCCTGGAACAGGTTGCCATCCCCCTCACCGCCCAACTTACCTCAGGTTAGCTAACTCCTTATATAGAATAATACTAGGGTCGCTGCATTTGTTGCAACGAAATTTTATAATTGTACACTGTGTTTATAGAAGTAAACTCAAAAGCTTAAAAAGAGTGGGTATTTGTAAAGGTCCAAATTAACCTTTACTCTTTAGTCTACTATAACTCCCAACTTTAAAACCTGATCACCAGGAGACACCGGTCAGTACAAGATCCCCTTCTGTTTCGAGGACACCTACGACCAGAGATCCCTGTCCCTGACCACCCTGGTCCCTGAAACAGTACACGAGGCTCCAGGTGGTGTTGCATCCTTCCTCTGCACTGACACCATGATGAACAATGGTATCTGCTACAGAGCTGTGGTGAGGAGTGACTGGCTTGATTTAATTTTTGGATTTATTGAGGAGACTATTAACTGGATACTTGATAATATGTTCAGAGCATTGTTTGAAATGCAGACTGAAGGTGACCAATTTCAGGTCACAAACCGTGGTACGAAGTTCTACGACTCGTCCGGAGCGAAAGTGAACGCAGTTATTCCAACCATCCCTAAAGAAGAGTACGGACCTGTCTACCTGCTTGTCCTTGCTCAGGGTATGATTCATGACATTATTTTAAGTATTTTAGGGTATTTCAGGGTACACTAAAACACTAAAATTTGTTGAAGACCATGTTTTAGAATTATAAAACTGTTTTTAAATTTTACCTCAGTTATTTTACAGTCTTCAAATTGGCAAGTAAAATTAATTGTCTCTATGATACACCTGGGTAAACACAAAACATCGCAGGTAACTATCACGACAAGGTTGAGTTCACCATCACAACCAAGCTGAGAAATCCATCTGGAGACGAACTCAAACTTACCGGTAACTAAGCTTTTTTAATCGAAATTATTATAAAACAATATTCAAAATTGAATACATAATGGATCTTGAATCTTGTAAAACTCAGACCCTAAAATATTAATTCCTCCGTGCGTACCAGTTCAAATTAATCACTACAAAAACCTCAACACAATATGCAACTAGACTGCACCTGCAAAATTCAAATTCTCTGTACATTGTCTACACAGCCTGTATCAACTCCTACAGCTGGAGCATATTAATTAGCACATTAATTAGCACATTAATTAGTACATTAATTAGCACATTAATTAGCACATTAATTAGCACATTAATTAGCGCATTAATTAGTACATTAATTAGCACATTAATTAGCACATTAATTAGCACATTAATTAGCACATGATTAATTCGACTCCTACAGCTGGAGCACATTATAATGATTAATTATAATTAATTAATTAATTATAATTACTTCGACAGATTTGCGAATGAAATTAGGTGCTTCCTCCGTGGCTAAATGGTTTTGGCTAGTCAATCATTAAACGTCAAATCAAGGCCTTAAACTTTCTTCTTGTCTGTTCCTCGCATATTACAAGATCGATATAAAACTATTCTGCAATTTTCAAGTGAACAAATAATGCAGTTTGTTAACCAGAAACTGCAAGTGTTATTTGATCACCCGCCTTGCATGCTGTTATCTGATCTCGAGATGACGTACGACACCTTATCAAGCCAATCAGTGTCTGAACAACTGAACATTTTCACAGGCCTAGCACTTATATTTATTCGGTACGTAGTTGTGCAAAATTACGATACATACAGGCCACAAAATGATACGTATTGCCAGATCCTGGTGGAACTAACTTGATGCATCATATTATCACGAAAGGCCCTAACTAAACCCGCCTTGCATGCTACAAGAAGAAATATTAAACTTAATGTCAATTCCATGCGGCTGATATGTGGTTGCTTAGATTAAGTTTGCCCATTATATGATTTTGACAAGATCAAGAAATCAAACTTATAGTTTTACTTAATTTTGCTCAAACTACATGCTTTTTGAAAAGACTTCAACTTATAAATTCAGTTTTCCTTTTTGTTCAAGACGCAATTAATTAATTAATAACTTAATTAATTTATTAATAATTAATGCAAGACGCATGAATTACCAAACTGTTCCCAGGGCACTCTGAGAAGGACCTGCACAGTGTGCTGACCTACCTGAAGAGTAGCTACGAGAACAAACCTGCTCCTCTTGATCACGCATTTCAGCATGAAGAAATGAAAGAGGAGCTGTAAAAGGAGAAGAAGCTGAAAAAGGAACAGTTGAAGGAGCTCAAACAGGAGCTGTAAATCATTTGTTATTGTGTGTTTTATATATATTACTACTTTACTATTAGAGTATTAGATGCCAAGACAGTTTAGCGCTTTTGGTTAAACTTATAAGTAGTTACTTGACGGCGTTCTGTCTGTCACTAGGCGGCACTCTGCCTGTCACTAGGCGGTACTCTGCCTGTCACTAGGCGGTACTCTGCCTGTCACTAGGCGGTACTCTGCCTGTCACTAGGCGGTACTCTGCCTGTCACTAGGCGGTACTCTGCCTGTCACTAGGCGGTACTCTGCCTGTCACTAGGCGGTACTCTGCCTGTCACTAGGCGGCACTCTGCCTGTCACTAGGCGGTACTCTGTCTGTCACTAGGCGGCACTCTGCCTGTCACTAGGCGGTACTCTGCCTGTCACTAGGCGGTACTCTGCCTGTCACTAGGCGGTACTCTGCCTGTCACTCCGCCATATCTTGGATCGTTTATAACACTTAAGCAGCTGAGGTCCCCGCAGGTAAATAGATACGGATTCTGGCGGTTAGATGAGCTTTGTTAGGTCTGGCCGGGGTTTTAATTGTCTTCAAATAACGTCCTATCATAAGGTAGTTGCTGTCAACAAAATATACCTCCCCACCAGAATCCACATCTATAAGTAATATTTATATTGTCTGTCATATTACTATATTGAGACTTTTACTTTTTTCTTTACCCAGGGACTTTCTTTTCTTTTTTATTAATAAGTTAATATTTTACGCTTTTATAGGTGTAATCATTGTTATTGTAGTTACTGCATATCTTGTTTTAAAAAAATTTTTTCTGAATTCTCTGTCATTATTTATACTTAGTGCTATCAAAAACAATAGTGTAATTAGCGAATTAATTACGAGAAAATCATTAAAACCAACCGAACTAGAAGAAATGTGGATAAACTAGGTTATCCGGCAGTTAATAAACATAAACATCGCGCTTAATTATTTTATCCCAAACCTAATTAATACTCTTATATAATGCCAGAATGGACATTTTAATTACACCAAGCCACAGTAATTTGCAAAACTTTTGCATACTAAAAGACGATGGGTTGGCAAGAAGTGTGGTGCACGTGCGCACGTGCGCAATTCCAACTCCGTTGCTATGCAACTTCTTAGTCTTTACTTAATTCTTTAATTTGCACATGGGAGGACAGTTATCTCTAAAAATAAAAAAACATATATACATTATACAATCTATTAACAGAATTACACGTAGGCTGTGTTGTGACTGATATTAAGAATGTTAACGCGCAGGCTCGTTCAGTTGGAAAGGTTTCAAGCCAACAAATTAATGATAGAAAGTAAGCTATGCACACGTTGTAGTATTACCTTATTACTGAAATTAAATACACTTATATCCAAGTGCTCAGTAAGCCAGTGGCAGTACCGAGAGTTCTGAGATCTTCTTTTAGTTTTTGTTTTTCCAGCACTGACCTTCTTTTCCGGGTTTAACTCTTGATTCATATTAGCGGATACTTAACACGTGACCATGGATACTCAACACGTTACCATGGAAATTGGTCACGCGTGAGCGCTGCAGAGATTATGGATATAGGAAATGGACCACTATTATTTACTTGGAAACCAGGCACTGTGTTTTATGCTAGTCATTTTGTATTTGTAGTTATGTGGTCTAAAAGGTTTTGCCAGGTCCAGATTCCAGAACTAATGATACAAATCAAATAGGCTGGAGTTTTATGTGTATTGGCGGGACACTGCATCAGACATCCTGAGCTACTTACCAGTGATTTAGTCTTATGGGAACCTATGCATGGTAGAGCACAGCAATGAGCAAGGCCGACCAAAACAAAGCTACTTGTCTATGTTACTGGAGGAAGTTGGGACAAACTCTAAAGAGGAACTGTGAACCCTGATGCGGGACAGGGATATATGGAGGGGTTATCTGGCGTAGATCGGACTTAGTTCCGACATAGTAGTAGTAGTGGTAGTTATTATGTGTATTTGGAGATTTAGAGGTAAAAGTGAAGGTCAAATTTTGTAAATTTACGTTTAGAAATAAACCTTATAGTTTTTCGATTAATAGTCAACATGGGTTTTTCAGGGGCAGACATTACAGTATAATAGTACCGCACAAATGGGGCGACTATTAGTATTTTGTCAATTGATCATACCTTTCTTATCGAATTCCGGGGACAAAGTGTTTATCCCTCTATTTGACATCCCAGCTTTCACTATAATATAAGGTGTCCTCACCCACAAAGATGTACGGATTCATCCTGATAAACCAAATGAAGAGCGTTCAGCAAGGAAACATCGGGTCGCTGACCTGAAGAAGAAGAGGACTGAACAAGATGCGAGTATAGCCGTGATAAGGAGATACCATGACGTAATTCTTGTCTCTATGACACTAATCAATATATCCAAGTAGTTCAATATTTAGGAAAAATGAATGAAAGTAATAAGCATTTTTGGATTCGGATATTTTTATTGAAAATAATGAATTCAGTACAAATTAGACAATATGGCATGCTTATAACTTTCAGTTTAAAGATATTAGCATGCCTAATTTGAAATCCCCTGATAGAACTAGAAGTAGAAGATTGCAATCATTTAGACTACGTTTTTCGCAATCATTTAGACTAGTAATACAAATACAAAATTAGAAAGATTTATTAGAGATGTAAAATCTCTTAAGAGTAAATTATTGTATCGGGATTTGAATATTGATTTGTTGCGTATATACGTTTAAAAATTTATAAAAGCTAAACATCCGTGTACTTATAAGTTTTACGAGGTTTTAACACCTTCTATTTTCATTTAATCGCATTTTTCTGTAAATTACAATGTTTGAAAATTTATTTTGGTGAAGGAGCAAATTTGATATTTTACGATTTTGATTCATTTCTTGAAATATCGTATTTTTTGTTGTTATTTTGTTGTTATTTTGTTATTATGTAATATTATGTTGATATTTGTTTTAATTTATTATCATTTGTGCTTTTATCATATTTTAGATGATTTCTCGTTGTTTTGATATTTTTTGGTGTACAGTAATTTTTTGTACAATGTTTTATTATTTATCCGTTACATATTTGTTGTACATTTTTTATTTGATGGGTTACACGGTTATTCCGTTATGGGGTTGGGAGCATGGTGGTGATGAATAAGAAAAATACGAAATTGTTGAACGATCAGGTGATAACAACACATTTTTATGTTTTGATTTTGACCCTTGTTTTATAATCAATCTGTTATCTAGTTTTGTGTAAATGGAACGGCGATAACAACAATATATTACATAACAAGATGATAGGATTGGCGATACTTCTTCTCTGCCCAAATACTTTTGAAGGTGAGTCAAAGTGAATCGATCACTTTTCGCAGGTTAATGATGACATGATGAATAAATTATTCCACATAGATTGCACAAGATAAACAAAATAGTAGATGACACAGTCTTTTTGTATCATATGCCACATTTAATGACCTAAGTAAAACTTAGCATGACATAATAAACATTCAACATTGTAAAACGTGAAATCTAGTTCTTCTATCTATCATCATTTTACAGCGAGGCTTGACCCGAGCTGCTTCAAAGCCGACTTGAGGGCAATTGGACCTGTCTTAAAAGAAGTTGAATACTCTTCAGACAAAGCATGTATGAATATTTGTATCGCTGCAACGAAGTAAGTTTTGATAATTTTAAGTATTTTATATCATTAAAGTATATATAATTTGTTACTCTTTGACTTCTTTTTCATCATTAGTGGCATAGTACCACTAACCAAGCTTTGCCTTTTTGTTGCAGACAATGGTGACTTGAACAATTTTGAACCATATTTCACATGTGCAACGAGCGTTACATATAGAAGACTCACATGCAGTAGTTCCACAGGAATGCTTATAAAAATGTTGTTTTACTATGAGTAGTTCCACAGCTGACTCTTTCAAAAACCTAACAATCAGTTTAATTTCTCCAGCTGTATGGTGGCGGTTATTAGTCCAAAGCTTTTGGATGTGACAAGTTGTTACGCTATTGGTGAATACACTCTGTCTGATGATAATGCCTATGGTTGGTACACTGCTGTGAAACAATGCTTGGAAACCAAAACCATTACTAATGCAGCTAATACCCCTGATCCTGGTAATGAAATATTTAATAAACTTGTTCTGCTCTATAACATTAATTTAGGAAACAATATAAAGATACAAAATTTCTGCCCAATATAATTTCGCAGAAATTTAACTTTGGAAAACTGCAAGACTCTATGACGCTGTTTATTTCAGCCAATTAGCGGACAAGAATTTTTTATATGTATGAAATGTATCACGCGTGCAATGAATCAATTTTGGCGCGCGAGGACTTTGACTCGCTGCGAAGAAAGTATACCACTAAAATTGATAAAACTCTCAGTCCCTAAGGTTTCTAGGATATATGGTACAAGATATCAAAATTACTTTTGTTACCGTGTGCCGTGCTGCGTGCACACGTTTTTCTTAATTGCAAAATTAAAGTTTTCTGGATTTATTACTTTTATAACTTAACTAAATATATAATTAAAATTTTCTGATATAATTGGAGTATTAACCCTTATCTTTATTAGGTACTGAAGATGTCCGAAAATGTTTTACCAATGATGTAATAAAGATTTTGTTGGAATATTTAAACTCATTCGTTGTCTGACTGTGGGAACTATTGATTCTTGATCTCTATAACTTAACTACTTTTAAAATCATATTTATTTTTCAGATCCAAGTTTTATTAATTTACGCAACAAAAATGGACTTGAACGGCGGCTTTCAGAACACATCCCTAAGTCTCCACCTCCTGCTGCTGTAAAGAGAGTTCACGATAATATAGGTTTATAATACCAAATTCATATTAATAATTTTACCAAAAACCCATTATTGGGTAAACTTTACCGTAAAGTTGACCGTTGCCAGTGTATCCCTCCCCCAAACAAAACAAAATGATACCAATTTGAATAGTCGTTCTCAAATGCAAAATGATACCAATAATGAAATTATAAAACATTAAATTACATCGAACCAACTTAAATTTATTAATGTTTTTAAAGCACTTGGATATGGCGATTTTGGGGTTTTGCCGAATTATATAGCTATTCTTTCTTATTGTCATTTTAAACATTGAATTAGAGTATTTAAATTTTGAACTAAAACTACACCAAAAACCCGCTGAATGACGTACCTGATGAGTCTAAGTGAACGAAAAATAGTCAAGTTCGTGGGTATATAATAGTAAAAGGAGTATAACTACATAATATAATTATGGCTGACGGTCGTCCGTCGTGCTTGCCAGCACTGTACTTTCAATGAATAATTATTAACTACTCCCACTACCCTTATAGTAGCAGGAGGTAGTTGAGTGTGCACTTTGATGTACACGATTTCTGACAACACAGGGTTGTTTGTTAGGCCATTCTTAACCAAAATCGTTTATGTGCACAATTTGTTTTGTTAAAGACAACACTACAGGGCATATTTCCTAAATTACTGGCGTATTACAGGATTTTCATATTTTGGCTCCTGAAGGTCATATAGAGACTTAATTTTTAGCTGATGATTACAGCAATGCCCATATTTATATATAATTTATTAATCAATGTATGGTCTAACATTTTTCTTTTCCGAGATCAGAGATGTCTGCAAAAAACTAATTTTAAGCTCAGAAGTCAGATGTAAACTCAAATTTTGACTTAAAATGACCGCGATACTCATGTTTATAATAGATAATATATATAAACAAAATAATAGATGACATAGTTTTATCATATGCCACATTCAATGACA